TTAATTAAAGGATAATTAATCATTTTAAAAAGGTGCATGCACATATATAAACATTTATAAGTAGACAGATAAATCGAAATAAAGAATTAGTATAAAATCTGTCGTTATCATAGGCCCAGCATTTTTGTAGACACACAACGGGAGCTAATAGATATCTTTAAGGTGAAAATGCAAAAAGTTGATAAACAACTATGCGCCTTGCAAGCAAAAGAATTGTTGTGCTGGATTTCTTTCAGTTATTATTGTTGTGCTTTCAGAGCTGTGGAAGTGGTGCCAGCTGATTCGGATGGTCCTTGCACACCGGAGACAGCGGCGCTTGCGGCAGCTACTGTTGGCGATGCATCGGGGCCGGAGAGCCTGGCGGCTAGCCGGAGTTTAAGATCTGCATTTTCTGTCTCCAAAGTCTCGAGGCGGGCGCGAAGTTCAGTTATTTCACTGCCCATTGCTTCAGGATCCGGAAAGTCCGGTCCGGTTGGCTGCATATGCAGGCGGATGAACCTGACACAAGTTGGAAATCCAAATAAAGGAAATAGCAGAAAAGTCAATCATTTTTATGACCAAGCGAACATTTTACAAAGTTATAGAGTTTCTATGGCTAAAGGCAATCTGGCTTGGGACGATAGCCAGTAAAATGACGCCAAGTATGCCATATAGCTGATGCTAAATAACCCCATCCTAATTGTGTGATTTACAAAATTGAGAGTGAGCCACAGAGTCTGCTGAGAAATAATGGCTTTATATTTCTTCCGTATATAAGCGGAGTTTCGAGACTACCAGTAAATCAGTTATATGTAATGTATTAACCCTATTTCGTTAAAGATGATTAAGGACTGGTAGTTAAATTTTCCCACAACCTCATCACCTTAAACGAAATAGTGTGAATACATCTCATATAACTGATTTACTGGAAGTCTCAAAACTCTGCTCATATACGTAAAATAAGTAGCGTAGTCAATTGTTATAGCAAAAATACGTCTGCTTTATCGACAACCCCACCAAAGAATGTAATATGGAAAAAGCCTTGGCCTTCCTTGAAATTAACATTTGCCCTGTGACCCAAGGGAACCAGTGGTTAATGTGTCAAGCTCACATTCTGCACTGTCACGGTTCGACTTCCGCTGGGGGTGTTGATAAGAC